ACAGACAGGCAAGCAGTAGGGTGGTTCCCTGTGGCCAAGGCGGGGCAGGCGTGCTGGGGCTAAGGGGCTTGCTGAGTGTGACAGGGAATGCCTGTGGCCCAGGCGGGGGCTGAGTGTGACAGGGAACAGAGGGAGCATTTCCTCGGGGTTTTCTAAGCACCTGACATCTGGACAGGCTGTTTTGCTTCAGAGGCAAAAGCCCAGTGAAACTGGAATGACCACCAGCCCCATTTTCCTCAAGCCCTAACTCCAGCCCCCTACTTCTTCAGGGTCTGCCCCAGACCCCCAAGGATCCGCCGCAAGCCCCTAAAAGTCTTTCAGCCCCGCCGCTGATACCCTTTGCTTCCCACACTTCAATTCACCCCTTGAGCCTACGGCCTCACCCGAAATTCTCAGGCTTCACCTTAGGGGTCCCATGTATTCTCCAGGTCCAGCCTCCAATGCCCTTAGCTCTCCAGGCCTCACCCCTAAGACTCCCCAGTCCCCAGGCTCCACTCCGGGGACCCCATGTACTCTCCAGGACCTTCCCCTACCGCCTCCAAACACCAGGCTTCATCCTAGGGACCCATAGCCTCTCCCGGCCCCGCCCCCATAACCCCAAATCTCCAGGTTCCACCCTAGGGACCCCAGAACCTCTCCAGGTCCTGCCCCTATAACCCCAACTACCAGGCTTCATCCCAGGGACGCCTCAGCCTCTCTAGGAACCGCCCCTATAACCCCCGATCTCCAGAGACCCTATACCCTCTCCAGACCCCTATAAATCCGCAGTCCCCAGTCTCCACCCCAGGGACCCTATTCCCTCTCCAGGCCCCGTACCGATAACCCCCAGTCTCCAGGCCCTGCCTCTACAGACCCCCAGTCCCCAGGCTCCACCCCAGGGACCCTATTCCCTCTCCAGGCTCCCCCACCCACAATCCAACCAAGCGCCTTCAACCCCGCCCCAAACTCTCCTTAGGCCCCGCCCCGACCCCCGCCCCGCGGGCCTCAGACCTCCCGCGAGTTTCCGCCGCAAACCCGGAGCCCCGGGCCGCCTACCCAGCAGCCTTTGCTCCCGGCCACGCCCCCTGACCCCGCAGGCCCCGCCACGCCCGCGCCGCGTTCCCTGGGGTCCAGTGACACGGTAAGGGGTCCGTCCGCCCTCACCGGGCCCCCGCAGCCCTGCACTCACCTGGCCGGCCCGTGCACCAAGCCCAGCGGGCGTCCGCTATGCGAACTTCCCTAGCGCCTCGGCTCCGGCGCGGCCATCTTCCCCGGCACCAACCGGTCGCCTGAGGCGCGCCGCCGCCTCCCAAAGACTTCTGGGAGGGCGGTGCGGCTCAGGCTCCGCCCCGCTTCCGGGGATATTTGCATACGAGCATTTCCAGTAATTCCCAGCAGCCACCGTAGCTATATTTGGTAGAATAACGAGCAGTTTCTCAACTCCAGTTAATAACTGCGTTAGTTGCGTGACACATTGGACTGATACAAATAGAGGTTGAATCTCTAGAGCAGTGGAGAAAAGTCGCCCTATGTGAACAGAAATTTTCTCCGGGGACTATAAATAGCTGGTGGTAGAGCCTGTGAGTGGTGCTCGCTTCGGCAGCACATATACTAAAATTGGAACGATACAGAGAAGATTAGCATGGCCCCTGCGCAAGGATGACACGCAAATTCGTGAAGCGTTCCATATTTTTTTCCTTTATTTCTTCCCCCCAAGACAGAGTCTCGCGCTGTTGCCCAGGCTGGAATGCAATGGCGCGATCTTGGCTCGTTGTAACCTCCGCCTCCTGGGTTCAAGCAATCCTCCTGCCTCAGCCTCCCGAGTAACTGGGATTACAGGCGCCCGCCACCACGCCCGGCTAATTTTTGTATTTTTGGTATAAACGGGGTTTCACCACGTTGGCCAGGATGGTCTCGATCTCCTGACCTCGTGATCCGCCCGTCTCGGCCTCCCAGAGTGCTGGGATTAAAAGCGTGAGCCCCCTTGCCCAGGCTTTCTTCCATTTTCTTTCTTTTTTTTTTTTTTAATTAATTTATTTATTTTTATTATACTTTAAGTTCTGGGGTACATGTGCATAACGTGCAGGTTTGTTACATATGTATACTTGTGCCATGTTGGCGTGCTGCACCCATCAACTCGTCAGCACCCATCAACTTGTCATTTACATCAGGTATAACTCCCAATGCAGTCCCTCCCCCTCTTCCATTTTCTAATGTTCAAGAGTGGGGAAACTGAGGCTCCTGTAAGCGAAGTCACGGACCCAGTTGAGTATTCCTACTTCCAACCCCATTCCCACCTCCTTCTCCAAAAGCCAGTTTAATGCAATGGATGTTGTGCTCTTCCGTTTTTATTTTTTTTGTTTTTGAGACAGGATTTCGCTCTGTGGCCCAGGCTGGAGTGCAGTAGCGTGATCTTGGCTCACTGCAACCTCCGCCTTCCAGGCTCAAGCGATTCTCCTACCTCAGCCTCCCGAGTAGCTGGCACTGCAGGTGCGCACCACCACGCCCAACTAATTCTTGTATTTTTAGTAGAGACAGGGTTTCACTATGTTGGCCAGAATGGTCTCAATCTCTTGACCTCGTGATCTGCCTGCCTCAGTCTCCCGAAGTGCTGGGATTACAGGCGTGAGCCACTGCGCCTGGCCTGTTTTTTAAAAATTTAATAGAGATGGGGTCTCACTATGTTGCCCAGGCTGATCTCAAACTCCATCTCTCAAGTTGTCCTGCCACCCTGGTCTCCCAAAGTGCTGGGATTATAGGCGTGAGCCACCGCAGCCTCACTGCATGATTTTTGCAAGAATTCTGCAAATATAAAACTGTTCTAAAATTACAAGTTAACAATCGCCCAAATATGAGTCTTTTTTCTGGATCAGGGTTCAGTTCCCCAAGAGGGCCACACAGTGACCTTACAGAAAATCCCCATTCCCAGGCAGCAGGGAGGGGTTTAGCGTTCTCAGGGGCCCAGGTGTGGTGGCGCACACCTGTAATCCCAGAACTTTGGGAAGACGAGGTCGGAGGACAGCTTGAGTTCGAGACCAGCCTGGAAAACATAGCCAGACCCCCATCTCTACAAAAAAATTAAAAATTAGTGGGGCTGGGGAGGGGGAGCGCTGGGCGAGGTGGCTGTAATCCCTGAACTTTGGGAGGCTGAGGCAGGCGGATCACCTGAGAACAGGAGTTCGACGCCAGTCTGGCCAACATTGTGAAACCCCATCTCTACTAAAAATACAAAAAAAAATTAGCTGGGCATGGTGACACATGCCTGTAGTCCCAGCTACTTGGGAGGCTGAGGCAGGAGAATCACTTGAACCCAGGAGGTGGAGGTTGCACTGAGCTGAGATCGCACCACTGCGCTCCAGCCTGGGCCACAGAGCCAAATAGCCAGGTGGGGTGATGCACACTTGTAGGCCCAGTTACTCGGGAGGCAAAAGTGGGAGAATCACTTGAGTCCTGGAGGTCGAGGCTGCAGTGAGCTGGGATCGCTCCACTCCGCTTCAGCCAGGGCAACAGAGCCAGACCCTTTCTAAAAAAAAATAAACAAACAAAAGGCCGGGTGTGTTGGCTCATGCCTGTAATCCCAGCACTTTGGGAGGCCTAGGTGGGCAGATCATGAGGTCAGGAGATCAAGACCATCCTGGCTAACATGATGAAACTCTGTCTCTACTAAAAAATATACAAAATTAGCCCGGCGTGGTGGCGGGCGCCTGTAGTCCCAGCTACTCCAGAGGCTGAGGCAGGAGAATGGCACGAACCCAGGAGGCGGAGCTTGCAGTGAGCTGAGATCTCGCCACTGCACTCCAGCCTGGGCGACAGAGCGAGACACCGTCTCAAAAAAAAAAAAAAACAAGTGGTTGAACTCAGAATGTGACCTTATTTGAAAACAGGGTCTTTCCAGAGGTAATCAGGTTAAAAGGAGGTGATTAGCGTGGGCCTAACTCAATGACGGGGGTGATCGAGAGGGATATTTGGGCACAGACACATGAGGGAAGGACAATGTCAAGACAAGACATAACACACAGGGAAAATGGCCACTTGGAGACGAGACCGCAGCAATGTGGCCACAAGCCATGGACACACGAAGTCCCCAGAAACCAGTAGAGGCAGGAAGGCTCCTCCCCTCGAGACTCCGGAGGGAGCACTGCCCTGTAGACACCTTCACCTCAGGCTTCTACCTCCAGCACTGTGAGAGGGCAGAGTTCCCTTTTGTTTTTCTTTGACATAGGGTCTTCCTCCGTACCTGGGCTGAAGTGCAGCGGCACAGTCTCAGCTCACTGCAGCCTCAGTCTCCCAGACTCAAGTGATCCTCCCACCTCAGCCTCCCAAGTAGCTGGGACTACAGGCACACACCACACCCTGCTAATTTTTTTTTGTGTGTGTGACAGAGTTTTGCTCTTGTTGCCCAGGCTGGAGTGCAATGGTGTGATCTCAGCTCACTGCAGCCTCCACCTCCTGGGTTCAAGCGATTCTCCTGCCTCAGCCTCCTGAGCAGCTGGCATTACACGCTCACGCCACCACGCCCGGTTAATTTTGCATTTTTAGTAGAGAAGGAGTTTCTCCATGTTGGTCGGGGTGCTCTTGAACTCCTGACCTCGTGATCCACCCGCCTCGGTGTCCCCGAAGTGCTGGGATTACAGGTGTGAGCCACTGCACCCGGCCAACCCTGCTAATTTCTCTCATGTTTTGTAGAGACAGGGTCTTGCTATGTTACCCTGGCTGGTTTCAAACTCCTGGGCTCAAGCGATCCTCCTGCCTTGGCCTCCCAAGGTGCTGGGATCACAGGCGTGAGCGACTCGCTGGCCTTCTGTTGTTTCAAGCCCCCTGTGTGATACCCTCCATTACAGGGGCCCCAAGGCACTCATACGAGCCACTCACCCAAGGTCACACGGCAGGCGTGTGGCAGAAACGGGATTTGAACCCAGGCATCTGAGGGCGGAGGAGCTAGGGAGGCACCTGCAGCCCTTGGTGGCCAGGACCTACTGAGCGCCCGGCCCAGTCCCGAAGAAAAACTCGCACACCCCGAGGCCAGAGCACCAGAAATTTATTAAATTGCCCGCTTTCCCCCAAAACACAATTACCCACACGCAGCGAGGGGGTAGGAGGCCTCCCCAGGCTGGCTCCTGCAGCCTGGGCCAGGAGGACCAGCATGGGGACACAGGAGCTATCAGGCAGGTGCCAGGCTGTGGGACGGGGGACACGGGACGGGGGGACAGACAAAGTAGTGCAAGGGCAGAGGCTTCTGGCTGGAAGTCCTGGACCCCCAGTATGAAGGAGGGGAGGAAAGGAGGGGGGCTCGTATAAAGCAGGCAACCCTGAGCCCTGACACAGGCGGTGTGGGGGAGGGCACCCAGAATGACGAGGATAAAGCCAGCTCTTAGGACTGCAGCTTCTGTCCTGGGTCTCAGGGCATACGTGCGCGCGCGCACACACACACGACACAAGATGCATCTGGCATGAGGGGCAGGGTCCCAGAGACCCCACCCTCATTCAAGCTAAAAACTGGGAGGGGCTGAGCAGGGGCTTGGACCAAGACCCATGCTTTACCAGTGGGGACGAGTTTTTTTGGTTTTTCTCTCCAAAAGGGAAATTTAAAAATCTACAACAAATCACACCAAATTCATTAAAAGTGATAAAAACCCAGCCTCGCCCTCCTCACTTGAGCTTCAGACTGGGCCAGAAAAGCTAAACGATGAAGAAACAGAACAAGCCCAGATCAGGTCTCTCCACCCAAATACAAGTCCCAGAGCGGGAAGCTTGGAGCTGGGATGGCATGGGCAGCCCCAGCCGCCAGCGTCTGTTGACTGCCAAGAGCTGCATGAGGAGGGGGCAGAGGGAGAGAGACCACCCCAAGCGAAAAAGGTTTCCAAGGACCAATTCTAAAAATATGAAAGATATTTCAGCCGAAGGTATCGGAGGGCTTGGTGGCTGGGCGAGGCAGCGGCGGGGTCTCCGTGGGGCCACCATCAGCTGTGCTGCTCCAGGTAGGCGGACAGGAGCAGCCCTGGAGGCAGGAAATCCAGGTGCCGATTACTGACCTTCATCTGCCGCTTCCCCTCCAGGTCGGCGCCTGCAGAAGAAACCGATGGGACAAGAATGGGAGGAATTCGGGAGCCGAGGCAGGTAGAGGTGCCTCGGACCGGGACCCGGACTGCCCTCCACCCTCATTTCTTCCCCGGGAGGTCACCGCCAGCTGGTGTGTGCTGGTCACTGCGGCCTGGCTGGCCCCAAGCCCCCGGGTCCTGGAGCCTGACTCACAAGAACACCTAAGCCTCCCTACAGGAGCGCTCTCATCGGGCCCATCCCACTCTCCACTGTCACTCATTCCACTGTGGGGATGAGGACCCTGAAAAACACCGGGCCTGAGGCCATATGGCCACTCACACGCCTGCCTGGCGGAGTGTGCAGCCTCCCCGCAGGCTCCCTGCCCTGCAGAGGTGGCTTTGAGGCACCCAGGCCCTGAGTGGTCCAGCTCCCACCAGCCTCCCCTTCCCCATCTCCCCCTCACTGAAAAAAATGAATGACCTGGCCAGGCGCAGTGGCTCACGCCTGTAATCCCAGCACTGTGGGAGGCCAAGGCAGGTGGATCATCTGAGGTCAGAAGTTCGAGATCAGCCTGACTAACATGGTGAAACCCCGTCTCTAGGGCCGGGCACGGTGGCTCAAGCCTGTAATCCCAGCACTTTGGGAGGCCGAGGAGGGCGGATCACGAGGTCAGGAGAGAGACCATCCTGGCTAACACGGTGAAACCCCATCTCTACTAAAAATACGAAAAACTAGCCGGGCGTGGTGGCAGGCGCCTGTAGTCCCAGCTACTCGGGAGGCTGAGGCAGGAAAATGGCGTGAACCCGAGAAGCAGATCTTGCAATGAGCCGAGATTGCGCCACTGCACTCCAGCCTGGGCAACAGAGCAAGACTCTGTTAAAAAAAAAAAAAAAAAAAAAAAGAAACCCTGTCTTGACTAAAAATACAAAATTGTCCGGGCACGGTGGCTCAAGCCTGTAATCCCAGCACTTTGGGAGGCCGAGACGGGCAGATCACAAGGTCAGGAGATCGAGACCATCCTGGCTAACACGGTGAAACCCCGTCTCTACTTAAAAAATACAAAAACTAGCAGGGCGTGGTGGCGGACGCCTGTAGTCCCAGCTACTCAGGAGGCTGAGGCAGAAGAATGGTGTGAACCCGGGAGGCGGAGCTTGCAGTGAGCTGAGATCCGGCCACTGCACTCCAGCCTGGGGGACAGACCAAGACTCCGTCTCAAAAAAAAAAAAAAAAAAAAAAAAAATACAAAATTAGCCGGGCGTGGTGGTGTGCACCTGTGATCCCAGCTACTCAGGAGGCTGAGGCAGGAGAACGCATGAAACCCAGAGGCAGAGGTTGCAGTGGGCAAAGATCACGCCACTGCACTCCAGCCTGGGTAACAGAGTGAGACTCTGTCTCAAAAAAAAAACAAAAAAACCAACCAACACAAACAACAAAAACAAGCCATGTCCCATGTGAGCTCTGTGCCTCAGCAGTCCCCTTTGCCTGGGACCCCCATCCTCTACTCCCCATCTTGCTGGGACCCCTCCTCTTCTGCGTCAGGACCACAGCTCCACACCCACCAAGCTCCAAGCCCCGCACCCCCAGCCAAGGCCCGATGTTCTGAACAGAGGCAGGCATGGGGGCTGCATCTCCCACAGAGGGAACAGGGGGAGGCATCGTCAGGTTGCCATGGAAACCGTCACCTCAGCAACTCCAGGCGGGTGGCAGAGACAGGTGTGAGAGGCTCAGGACCAGATGGGGTGCCTGGGGCCAGCAGGCGCCTGCACAGACCCTCACTAGGGGGGTGAGTTCTGAGACCGTGCCTCATTGGAAAAGTGGAACCCAGGGGCCAGTAGGGGATGTCGCCTGAGGTCCCATGTGCGGTATGGGGGAGGCCCCAGGACTAAATGCAAACCTTCCAGACACTGTGCCCTCCCATCTTATCTCTGGCTCTGCGAGGTCCCTCAAAGCCAGGCTTCATCAACCCCACCCCAGGCCCCGAAGATGTAGATGGAGGGGTGTCTGCGTCCAGCAGCCTGGTCGTGTCTGCAGTCCCCTGCGTGGGGCCAGATACGCAGGAAGCTTCTGGTGAATTCAAGGCAGGGTCCCACTGCCACCCTTGAGTTCGCAGCGTCCCCACTCCAGCCCCCTTCCCCACCTCCCCACCAAGCCCCACTCTGAGGAACCAGGACCCTGGGACCCTGGCCACCTTCCCAGGTTGAGCTGCTGGCCAACTTGGGGTCTTGGGGGCCACTGGCGCTTACTGGCCGAGATGAGGTCCATGTACTGGCAGACGGCGTGCAGCAGGAGCCTCTCAAAGCTGTGGGAAACGGGCAGTGAGCACCGTGCAGGGGCCGCAGCATGGGGTGTCCGCCCACCTGGCCGCAGCCTGGGAGGGTCTGCCCACCTGGCCACGCCCCCTTACCTGTTGTCCAGCATGGCTGTGTACACGGCCTGGGGGGACACGGAGAAGAACCGAAGCAGCCGCTCCTCCCAGGTCTCCAGTGTTTCCTGGGGAGGGTGGCCCAGTGGTTAGGGCACTGTGGGGCCTTCGGGTGGGGGCCAGGGAGGTCCAGGCCCCCCAGGAGCCCACAGCACTGGGCTCGAACATGACCTCTGATCCACCATGTGAGGCTGCTTAACTGTCTCTGAGGCCACCATGCCACCTCCTGCCTGTGCCTTCCGCGGAGGGAACTCCTACACGCTCCGCAGTGCCCGCCTTCGTTGCCCCCGCCCTCCTATCTAGTGCCCTGGTCCGGTTGCCTGTATCCTCCCCTGTTTCCCCTGACACGACCTGCACCGGGTGAGAACCTGTGCCTGGGAAACGGGCCTTCAAAAAAGACCACGAGGGTAGAAAGGCGAGGCCCGGCACTCCGGCACTCACCATGGGGATGCGGCTGCGCTTGAGGACGGCTCGCAGACGCCGGCTGATGCGCTGGAAGCACTCACGGGGCGTATAGGCGGGATCCTCTGCAGTAGTAGGGGAACGGGGCAGTCTTGGGGCGCTCGTTCTGGCCCTGCCCACCTGCCAGACCACGCCCACCCGAGGAAGACCACGCTGATCTGTTCCTTGGCCTCTCCTGTCCACCAAACCACACCTTCACCGATACTGTGGCCCCACGCAGACAGCCAGCAGGCCCTACCCACACGAGGCCCTGACCCCAACCCATCCAGCTCGCCCCACCCTCACCCGTATGTTTGCCCCAGCTGTACGTGAGGCCCCACCCACTCCAGGCCCACACAAGCCAGCCAGCCCCACTCCCATCCATCTCCAGGCCCCACCCCTACCCACTGCCATCCAGATCCTGCCCCCGCATCCTGGCCACACCCACCCCATGTGCCACCCTATCCATATCCTACCCCCGCCATCCTGGCCCCTCGCGCCCCATTGCCCTGTTCCTATCCATACTCTGGCCCCACCCACACACTAGGTCCAACCCACCCCAGGCCCCGCCCACACCCCATCTG